CACTTGCGCTCCGCCAGTCTGAGTCACTTGCTCCGGCAGCTCGGTTTAGCAGCTCGTTTCCCCGTTCGCAGGGAAACTGCACGTCCTGAAAGCCGTCTAGGTACAAGCCCTCCCTGTGCGCTCCCGCTCCCACAATGGTGGCTTCAGATCGCACCCGCAAACAAAGGGCAGCTGTAATGAATGTGGGCCAAAGGACTTTTCATGCCCTATGAAAAGGTGCCTGTTAAAGCCCCGAGGCGCTAGGGACGCCTCTCCCCTCCCGTCTTCTCCCCTGCAGCCAGCCCTTTGCCCGTTCAGCCAATGCCCGCACTCCAGCATCATCCTATAACGGAGGCATCTCTGCCACCTGTGATACCTGTGGCTAAGAGCAGCCCCCATCGAGAGACAGGGACATCCCCACCAGCCCCACTTGGTGTGGGAGACAGAACGAGGTGGGACAGCAGAGACTGGGGAGTTCTTCAAAGCTAAAATGCAAATATTCACTGTATGTGTCTGGCTGGATGCCCCTTCCTTATCCCAGAACAAGGAACAGGTAAAGTTTCACAGTGCCCAAGTTGCTGCAAATGCATGGAATCAGCCAACAACCCCACTAGATCATCACTAGATCACAACGTTAGATCAGGACATTAGACTGAGACAGAGGCCCAAGCCTCTCACCTGGCAGAAGCATGTATTGAAATCCTGCCACAGAATCAGCTTTGCAGTCTAGAGAGCTTCCTACAAGCAAAAGTTGTGGCCTTGGCCTTGTCTTCCGCACACACACACACACACATACACACACACACACACCGTAAAGCACATAGGGAAACTAGCTCCCCCGGGGGTCCATGTCTGTCCTCACCACCCTGGTGCCTAAGGTGTCTCAGGGGAACGGGTGAGAGATGCTCGGGGCTGGCATGCCTGGTTGGGTGGGACCATGTCAGGGCAGGGACATAGTTATTCTGGCCAGGGATGAAGACAGCATCCAGGGTCAGAGACCGTCTGCCCACCGTGAAGTGCCAGAGGTGCTGCCCTCGAGGGACCTTCGGCCTCAAGTCAGCCTCCCTCCTCTGCACAGCCCCTCCTCGCCCGTTCAAAGAGCCATGGGGCAGGATCTCTCTGCTGCCAATCAGAGAGAGGCTGAGCTTTACTCACCAAGGAAGCTTTTGACTGGTGCAAATCGTGGCCCAACTCCCGCCTACTGCCCGCTCCGGAGGAGGTAAGAAGGAACTCTTAAAGGGCCAGCTCAGGAAAACACCGGAAGAGTGGCTTCTGTGATTCCCCTGCGTCCAGAGACTGACACACGATCTTGGACGTACTCATGCCCCGAAGGCTTCCAAAGAGAACAAGAATCGCCGTAACTGCGATTCTGGGATGTGGAGGAGCCCATGTAGAGGTGGTGCTTTCCCCCACTGCCCTGAGGACTTCTGGTGCCCATCCCAGATAGGGCCCCCGGAGAGCAGAGCTGGACAACGGGGAGGACCGGTATCGCCACCAGGGACACGGGGCGCTGTTCCCCTGGGAACGGATTTGGAGGAGGTGCGCCTCGACAGAAGCCTCCTGTGAAGACCACAAGGTCCGAGGGATCCGCTCACAGTGTCCCGAGGGGCTGAAGCGGGCAGTGGGCTGTCGCTCGGGTCTGCCAAGGCCCGGGACGGGGATGACGGCAAGCCCTGGGTGCGGTGGCCTGGTGTCCGGGATGGAGAAAGAGCTATCCCCGTTCCGGAGAGCCAGAGCTCACCGTGCAAAAAGGCTCCGACGCAGCCAGCTGAAGGGAACCGAGGGATCACCAGAGATCCTGCAGGGTAACAGCAATCAAGCAACTGCTCTCTGAAGGGGGGATTTTGGGGCCAGGACACCGGTCCAGAACCGCGGTCTGGACACGCCGCCTGCCCTGCTCAGGGCCGGCACGGAGCCTGGGGACCGACAGGCAGTGCTGTCCCCGCCGCACTGGGGTCGGGGCTGGTTGTGGGGGTGCCCCCTAAGGCGAAGG